ATATTAGTAAAAAAGAGGTGTCAACTTAAAATACTGAAACATACTAACGAGAATTAAAAAGTTATAAAAAGTTGGCAACTTATTCTCACCTATTTGTAAAGATGTTCTTGACTTTGTAGTTATTGTAGCTGTTGCTCACGTCTTCGTCCATGTGTCATGCGAACTATCAACCCAAAAACGCGCTCAGGGGTTGAATTTCCCAAAAAACCTCAGTCAACTTCTACGTCTTTCTGGAATTTGTTAATATTGTTGCTGTTGCCAGAGTCTTCTTTCGCATGTCATGCGAACTAGCAACCCCAAAAAACGTACTTTAAAGGATCGAATTTTACAAAATCCTGAATGAAAGCCTACTTTCTAAAAATCCCCATGTAAAGATATAGATTTTGTTCGATGCTTCGGATCAAAGGTTTTTTGTCAAAATAGCGATTCTTATTCATATTGATTTTATTTAAGTTACTTAGTGGGTATTAAGACTTGCGCTATATGTTAAGTATTAATTTAACTACTAACTTTACAAATTCATGTTTTTTATATTCTCTTCATAGAGTCTGTATTGGATGCAATAAATATTTTACTATCGATTTATAACCTCACTAGCTTTTCGCCCACGGCTTCGCCCGCGTGGTCATGTGTTATACATAAAAACCTTCCTTTTGAATTACTCTATCTATGAAAAAAAACCGCATTGAAATCCCTTGCGTAGTTTTGAAGATTTAAGCATACATAGGGATATAGGGACAGAGAAAGCGACTTTGTTTTATACTATGTAGTGATTAGCCTAAGCGTTACTATCTTTCAAAGTTCCCACAATTTTTCTAAACGAATTAAGTCAAAACATCATTGACGCCCTCCATTAAGTTATAAACCGCTTGAACAATGAACAATCAATGACCTCAAACGCTAATATAAGATCATATTTTTCACAGAAGTGTCTTACATCGCCATCTTGACCTCCCTATTTTAATTATAGTTATTACACGAATAAGCTCACTTTATAACCTGTTTTTTTTTACACCATTCAGTTTTAAAATGAATTTACGAAGGCAACGATAGACATGGGTGCATTCTAAGAGCGTCTAAGAATAAAAGAACTAAATTTATATCCATTTTGGTCTCAATATATGAACAAAATTTGACAGGTTCATGTGGAATAGTTTTTGAATTACTAGGAGGTCAAAAGTGACTCCTTGTAGATCGTGTTATATTTGTTACACAAGGTGTTGCTCGTCAGTTCTGTATATACTTGGCTTGATGCGCTACCGCGTATCTAGACCTATTTCATTTATAATTTAAAATCGGTACAGTTGTTTCGCAGCATATTTAACTCTGTTTAACTCTGAGAATTGAATTTTTTTGTTGCCTCGGAGACAGTTTAAGAAAATTCTAAACTCTATTTTTCGGATTCTACTTCATCGCAGTAGATACCCTTTGATAATTATAACTTTTTACACGTTATAACTATTGATTTGCTTATTTCAGTGATTCATCATCAGCCTTTCCTATGGATGGAATTAAATTGAACCAAATAAGGAATTGGCAATGACCTACCACGTGGGATTAGTGCGTGGTGGGTGTTAATTACTGAGGATACAGCAGGATTCTGCTTAGTGCAGAAGCTAGAAATTTTCCGGTTCTTATTTTTTTTACTTTACGATTTTCCCCGAATGTTACGATTTCATTAGTGTAATTACTATACAGATAACTTTTTCATTTACGATTTGATCATTGAGTAATCGTGAAATATCACTGGATTAATAACCACCAACACGAACTTGAATAATGTCAATTTGCAATAAATCATCACAAATTACAAATTAATATAAGCTGGATTAAAATCGCTAGCAATCTGATATTGCATTTTAATTTATAATTATTTTTGACTATAGGTATAGATATATTTTAGTTCAACGGGTACTCAATTCTTAATAGTCACTATGGCACGCACTGCAATCTGTTACGAAAACAGATTTGAACTCGACGTCGAGTGCAGCGCTGTTGTAGTATAAAAGTTTAATCAAATAAAATCTACTCGAAAAGGTAATAAAGGTTATACGACGGCCACGATTTCCGTAGCAGATTGGTTCACACGTCGGTGTCAATGTGTCTCTATCTGGAGTCCCGGGTTCGATTCCCCGTTTGGTCAATGTAAAAAATGAACTTTTCTATATTTCTCGAGTCTGGGTGTTGTAATCCAATTTTAAAATCGTTAATCAGTCAGGTTATTACAAGCACTTGTGAAAGGCGAAAACTATTCTATCAGTTCGCAAATCCACGGTGGGAGACCTTGTACTGACAAGAACCGGCAAGAAACTCAGCAAGGGTTGCCTTTTTCTACATGTTTTATTTCACACAGAGAAATCTTATTGGAAAGTGACTTTATTAGCCTATGAAGTAAGTTTCCATTAAAATATCAGAAATAACAAAAAAGATATTCTTAATGTAAAATGCTGACAAAATCCACTTTGTCCCTGGCACTCTGTGTGACTCGAACCCATGATCTTACGCATTCCTGGTGACTGCTCTAACTGATCTACCCAGGACCTAAAGGACTAATGAATTTTTTAAGCTCTTGTTACTTTATTTCTACTACAGTGCCAGGGTCAAAGTAGAATTTTAAACATTTTTCATTAAGAATATTTTCAGTATAGAATTGTAAATGCAAATTTGATCAAATAAAATAAATACAGATATTTTTGGATTACTAATCATGTAGGTTGCCGAGTCGTATATACTCATTGATAAACCAATACACAGTTATTCATAATAAAAGGAAATGGACAAAATTAAGTAGGCCAGAGCAGACTCATACCTCCATATTATCATCCATCCATATTACGGGGGCTTTAGCTACTCATCCTAATATCTGAGCAATTTCCATGATATTTTCTAAGACTTATATATTTTATATTTTTTTAATTATTTCATTGAAGTTTATAGCACTGCGCTTAACGTTTTTCTATATAGAAGACAGACAGTGTGTGTTAATGATTGAAGATCTCATGCAGACGGATTTCGAATAAAGTTTTGGCCATCCATCCTATAGTCGGCCATTAATAGCTCTAACAGCCTAAAAATAATAATAATTATCATTTCAGGCTACAAATCTTCTCAATTAATAAAAGATTATAGCTTAAAAATGCAAATAAAAGGCGATGCTCTTTCGACAGTATATGTCGCAAACGAGACTCATTAATGTTGTATAGAATCGATAAAATCGTATTGCACGACCAAATATGGTTACACAATATTACATATAAACTTTTATCTCAACCACGGGTCTTCACAGAGTAAATTTTGGAAAAATATACATAGAATATTGATAAAGACTGGGTAAAAAAAGAATCTGTTTAGTCCGTCAGTCAGATAATAGAAAAATATTAGACACGTATTTTTTGCTTCAATTTAAACAAGAAATGGCTTAGTTAATAGGCATTAAAGTTGAGGTGTGGGAGCCCGCTACGTCAAATTATGTTTTGTTGAAAATATACAAAACGTGACGTCATGCGATATTTCAGCTCAATATATGTAATTTAATGATTACTCAAAAAACTATTCATCATCAGCCCTTTTACGTCCCCACTGCAGGGGCTCAGGCCTTCCTTATGGTTAAGGAGGATGGGCCATGACCCTCCACGCTGGCCCAATGCGGATTGGAGGGTATTAACGACTGCAAATGCAGCCAGGACCAACGGCTTAACGTGCCTTCGCACGAAGCACGGAGTAGCTCGAGATAATAATTTTTTGGTCACCCATCCCGTGACCGACCCTTGCGAAAGTTGCTTAACGACTACGATCACGGGCCGAGGCGCTAATCCACTATGCCACCGAGCTACTCAAAAAACTATTATGAGTGGGTAATGTATGCAGCGGGTAAGTGTCCGCATTGCTAGTAAATAGTAGTAAATCCACTTTTATTTTGACATACGAACGCCAACCCTGCTCCTCGGTATTTCCATTGCGGATAAATTATGCTGTTTCTCAGAAACCGAAATTTCGTATTTTTTTCGAAATTCTAATACAGCTTCAAAGGAAAGCATTTTTCGATAATTTATGATGCAACGTTGGTAAAATGATGCACAGATAATCTTCATGAATACCGTTTTAACAAAATTATAAGAACGATCCCAAATTTTCCAAATTTTCGTTCGAGGACAAAGCAAATTGGCTCTCAGGTCTCTTATTAATTCATGCGAGCTAAACGGCCAACATCCTACTTAATTTACCAATCTATCTCACATTTCCATAATTTCTTTTGTCATTTTCTACTATCCAGAAAAAGCACACCCTGCGCACTTTTGACCCATATGTATTGATCCTTACAAATCAATATCATACCTACTGTCTCTGTTTATAATTTACTTTATTGGCATGATTTTTATGAAGATAAAGATCGGAACGCAGTCCATTAAAATAAAAAGAGTGCTTATTAGTGCGTAAATTGAAAAACCAATTCGAGAAGTAACATATACTTCTTGTTTATTGTGCATAGACAACACACAAAAAAGTTTGTATTAAAAAGAGAAATAGCTAACCAAATAGGTTGCTATTCGCACGCAATGCGTATGAACTCCATCGCTTCCTAGTTGAGACAATGAACGTAATTGACGGTCTCTTGGACTCTAGTGGAGTTTCCCTCAACGAGTTCATGAGAACGATGCCATAGTTGTTTCACCTCATACATAAACTAGATTTAAACCATAATATTATGAGTATATAAATAAGATAATAAGTAGTTTCATTAGTATATAATTTAATGAAAGTAACACGAAATTACCTTTAAAACGGGTTATTGGATATTAGTATTGATGTTAAGTACACTCAATATTTGATTATAGCTGATTATGCAAATATCGTTTAACAATTTTGCCCAAAAGCGTTAACTGTAGTTCATATATTTGGTACCTTCCTTGTTATTTCCGCCAATATTTTGTCCTAATTACAAATACAAAAAAGTGTAGTTGACAATTCAGGAAAAAAATAAAAAAGTAATAGAAACTTACCGAGAATAAGAAAGAGTTTCATTGTTGTTTTCGATCGGCTAAATAACACTGGCACAAAACAAAAAAATAAAGTTGTATCAAAAAAAGTTTGTATAGTTTTCCGAAAGTTTTCGTTTGTTCGACGGCGGCGTTCGTCGCTCTATACCGCCAAGCCGCGTGTGGTGTGCGCACGCGACTCTTAGCAGTAGCTACCACGTTCACTTTCTATACAGTGGAAAGAGTATACTGCATCGTCTTTTAGCCGGCACAATTGATGCTTTGCTTGTGTGCGTAGATTCTGTAACTTTAATAGTAGCCGTTAACTTAGATGCAAAATTATTTAAGTCAATATCCAGAACTGTGTATGCGCGAATCGGTCACGTTTCGTAATGCATTGGCGGCTAATAACATGTTGTGTTAAAGATGCATGCAACAGTTAAGGCATTGGACAGGAAATATGGCCTACTCTGTAATAGAAATATGATAATCGCGTATAGATTTATTTTTCTTTCTACTTTATCAATAATTCCATTGATAAAGTAGAAAGAATTAAGTCTTTCGTTTTTAAATGTTTGATTTTAGTAAACATTTCTCAAAAAAAAAGAACTGGCTGTTGTTCGATCAATAACTTTAGTAAACATTTCTCAAAAAAAGAACTGACTGTTATTATAATAACAATTTTCGGAGGGCTTTGGAAAAATAATAATTTGTTTTTACAACGTTCTCTAGACCAGAGGCATATTTAGCCGAGGTTTATACGGGCCATGACCAGTGGCGGCAAATTAAAACACCGCGCGGAACGTGCTCATTTATAATTTTATTCTTTTCGGTTACTCTTCAGAAGGTCCAATTTCCAAAATGTCTGACGGCTTCAAAATGCTCATTTCCCAAAATGCCCAGTTCCCGAAATGTGCATTCCTGAAATATCCAATTTTCAAAATGTCTAATCAATTAACATGTAGGTTATTTGAATACACAGATACCTAAATGATATGGAAATTCTGGGAATTGGAAATTTTGGGAATTGGAGGTTCTGAATTGAAAGGTTTTATTTATTATTCGAGAATTATGCGCAGTCGACATATAAATATGCCGGGGAATTTTAGTTCATTTATGTATACTTTTGGTAACGGCAGCAAATAATTTATTTGTTTAGATATTTTGCCTGACAAATTGATAAAAGTAGCGAAAGTAAAAACTGCTACAGAAATTCGTTAGTCCTCTTGAGTTTCGGGTAGCTTCGGGTCCCATCTTGGGCTGCTTGGGTCTCGTGAGTTTTTGAACTAGTTTTTATTAAAAATACACTTGTATTTACTGTTTCCTTTATGGGGCGACTAAAAACAAAACGAGCATATGAGTTTTTGCATTATAAAATTACTCCTAATTTAATTAGTGTTATGTGCGTGATCATATGAAAACAATTCGCTCTCTAACAGTTTAATGTTGGACAAAGATAATAAAGATTATAATGATACTCGGTAACGGATCCGGATAGTGATTTAAGAGGTAGTTTTTTTCTTTAAAAATCTTAATCACAATAGCTTTCATTGATTTTTTGATAAAAAATATTCGTGAAACTATTTAGTTGGCGCCTGTTGCTGTTAGTGGTCTACAATCATGAGAGTAAAGCAACTTTAGCAAAAGCCGATCATTGAACGCCAGATCGATTATTGAATATTAGTCTTCTTAGTTATTCATCATTTCCTTCATCATCAGCCTAATAATATCCTCACTTCTGGGACATAGACCTTTAGAAATGGAATCGAATTAAGCCCAGTACCATACGAATTGGTAGGTATTAACGACTGATGTATCCAAGATCAACGGCTTAACGTGGAGGGGCTCAAGCTAATAAATTTTTGGTCACCCATCCTGTGCTAAGCCTTGGCGAAAATGCAATAAACCTTCACATCGCAGACCGACTCACTTTTCCCTAATTTATTTCTATCTTAAGTAATGACATGTTAAGAACTGGTAAGTTTCTTTCCCTTGTTCTTCTATCGTGACGCCATCTTTAATGTTCATATCTGGATTCGATTTCCGGTAGGATCAATTTAGACAAAGGACTTTTCTGTATTGTCTCAGGTCTAGCTGTTGTGTTACCTTCCTTGTCTCAGATAGTCCATAATACGAGAGCTTTAGCTACTCATCTTGGAATCTGAGCAATATATTTGATGTAATGTAATATTAATTTAATAAAAAACTTTATAATATAGACACAGCTAGCTGTCCCAATTTTTATTGTAAAAATACTTCCTGCTATGCTTTCCTGAAATAACAGCCTTAAACTCAATGTCAGCCGGGGCTATGAAAAACTTGCACAGCCCCGGCTCAATATAGAGTTTTAATAAAATAAAAACTTCATTACCTTTTAAGTAGGACTACGAGTTTAGAAGCTGTTACAAAATTGTGCTGTTGAATAAGATAGCTTATTTTAATGCATAATAACTGGAAAAGGAACTATCATCTAAGAAAAGCAGCATTTTGGTACCCAATATCATAATTAACTAAAAAAATAGTACAAACCGTTCTACTTTAAATAACAGTGGACTTTTCAGTAGACTCTTTTTGAATAAAATATTCTCTAGTTATCGTATAAAGCTGCGATGAAAACAAAAGCGTAAAATATATTCTGACAGCGTTTGAAAGCAAAAGTGACATTATGAATCAGGTTATGGTAGAAAATGATAATGTGCGTGCGTTAGCAAGTCATTGTACGTATTTAAACTCTAATATATTTTTCACGCAACGTCGTTATATTGTATGTCAAGTTTATGTTTCAGATTGCTTCATAAAAAACACGATGGTGATTATTTAAGGAAAAGAAGACTAATGTTGGAAAATCATATTATATTGTTGAGATTTGAATATATGAACTATTTAATTTTAATTTGATGTTATGAATGGAGCAAACCAAAAAATATACGTTTATTTTACAAAAACGATTACAAAAATCTAGTCAAAGAAAAATGTTTAAGTCTTTTTGTTTAAGAGCTAATGCCATTTAATATGTTGGACTGGATAAATCAAATGAACTATTTAATTACGAAATGCCTATGGCCAGTTCCATCATCAGCCTCTGATAACCTTGACCAAAGTCCTTATCGAGGTAAATAAAACTAGTAAAATTGGATGTGTTTGATTCGTTAAATTAATTACAGAGGTCATGGCCACCTTCTAACTTCATCGGCAGATCAGCCCCATTGCATAAATATTTTAAAGACAAATGAAAGAAGCCTAAACTAGAAGAGGTTTGCTTCATTTACGATATTTATCTTTATCCTTTGGCTACCTTTCGGTTTCATCATCAGATCAGTTATTAACATTATATAGTGTTTCGCTTTAATCGATAATGTATCTGTGTTTACATGTGTTTACAAAATACTGTAAACTTTTGTTAACACATGGGTAATGCAACCTTAATATTTAAACTAGGGCTCTCCAACCCAACATTCGTCTTGAAAAGGACAGGCTTAAGCCAGGCTTGCCTACTTGGTAAAACCCGCTGCGAGTACCCTCCGGCGGGAGGGACCCACGATGCGGCAAGGAGCCGGGTACCCTTAACCTTACCTAAGTAGACAATGACAAAATACTATTAATTGTCTAATAGGCTCTATTTGTATAAATTTGAAATTTATACACATTAGTCTAATTTTTTTTCTTTAAAATATGAATGATGACTAGGTAAAAAAAAGAAAATACGTATCTCATAACGTATTTATTTTATTTCAATATAACAAGAAACAGCTTAGATGAAAGGCACTAAAGTTGAAGAGTGGGGGCTCGCTATTTCACAATTTTGTAGATTTACAAAAGCGTGACGTCATGCGACATTTTAACTCAAAGTGTCGCCGTAATGTAATAATTACGAAAAACTTGTTTCATATTTTTCAACAATCTAACTGACGGACAGCCAAACAAAAATCGACATCCATATTATATTATATCTGCATGCAAAATTTCAGCTCATTTAAACAGTGAGAAATGGGTCAAATTTAGCTTGCATGATTTGACCCATACTATTTAACTAACAAGGCAATGAAAATAATATAATATAGTCCGCATTTTTCAATCAGTACTTGAAAAATAAGACTAACGCTAGTAACATAACATCAGTAAAAAAGACTTCACAGTTCTAACAAAAAAGGTTATTAGATTTTAATAGAACAACTAGAAACTTTCAAACGCGCGGCATTAACGGGTTAAAATGGGAGATGACAGTCAGAATGACGAGAAATTTCAGATCTCACTAAAGCGACTTACTTAAAGTGTAAATATTAATTTCTAACATAAATTCCTTTACCTACTCTAAATCTTTCGTAACGCTTAATACATCTTAGTTTCGGTAACATCAAACAGTTGCATTCAAAACAAATTCCAAAAACGAGTCACTACGCCACAATTTGTAATACACAAGTCGGTTCAAATTAAAAACTTGCACTAGACACTTTCGATTTCAGAATCACATTTGCAAATTGAAGATGTAACTTTAATATTAGTGAAGTAATATGAAAACTAGTTAAAGTGGAACTGTTTTAAGCGTTTAAGCAAGAAACGTGATCTGATATAGTTCTGGTAAACTAGTTAGAGATCAATTAATTTACGATCTTGTTGCAATCACATTTACCTACTCTGGTTATATTTTTTTTATTACTAGCGACTTCTCATGGATTTACTAAAGCTTAAAGTAAGCTTCTTTTAATTGATCAATTTCTCATTCACAACGCTATACTGAAAAATGTTCTTAATTAATAATGCATTAAAAGATCCTGGAAGTGGTGAATTTTTAAATCTAATAGCTATAAATCGGCAAGATTTTTTCGACTCCTTCAACATTCATCATCACCAAAAACTTTATCCTGAGTTATTCCGTTATTGCATGAAAACGCAATGAAAATCTGTCCATTGGTTTTTGAGTTTATCGTGTTTAAAACAGGCTGACACGACGAACAGAATATGTATAATAGTAAATAAAATGGTAATTAGCTAAGTTTTTCGATTTTATTCACCAAAGCTAGTTTAGTTTATAAGGTTCTTCAAGAA